TTAGATCACATCCCGGTCATATTGTGCACCTATATAACAATATATGCAAAATAAGTTACAAAACATATATATTTTCTTGCAGTTTTATATTCAATTTGAATCATCTTTCCTTCCTGTAAAACAGAATATGAAGTGTGCTTATGTAAACTAGTACCCTCCAATTTCAACCAATAATATCATGACATCCGTCAATCAACCTCGAGCTCTGAGAGACAAAGGAGGCTTGTCCAGCCACGGTCCCTGAGGCGTCTCGCCTGAGACAGTTCGTTTCACGCAACTTAAGCCCGTCCACTTCGTAGCGGTTCAATCAAAAGCGTAAGATTTCATTTAAATCCCTCTTGTAACTGTACACCGCTCAAATATTCCATTTCAATGTGACTTTAAATAACGCCCAGTTCAAAATCATTACAAATGACTGATGGGTTCATCTGCTGTGGCTGTGGGAACCACTGACCTGTGTAATTTCACATTTGTGCTTAATTTTAAATGAAATGTATTCCTGCCTTCAAACAGAGTCGCTGCAGGTCAAAGCGTAGATGTTATAGTTGTTGCTTTTCACTTATTGAAGAAGCAGTCAGTTGGAGCCTCCTCACTTTGGACAGTCACTATCACTATAGCAGTCGCCATCTCATACCAGCTCTTCTGGGAATTGCTTCCTTGCATCTGGGTATAATAGAAGAATTATTTATCAAATTTGGTGTTCATGAAACATCCACCTCTCAATCAGCTGTGTGAGCATTGCGCTGAATAAGTCTGTGTGCTCAGCTGATCCGATTTATTTTGATAGGATACACCTGAACAAAGTTTGGAAATACTGATCAGTAGAAAATATTTAAGCCAATTTAATTTACCAACATGCTGTGGCTTGATGAGTCTGAGGGAGACAGGAAGTTAGAGTCAGAAGTTTGAAAAACAATCAGCAGTGTTTATTGTTGTATTACCAGTATTTGATTGCTTCTCGTTTGTGTGCGTCTTGTAATCGCTGAAGATTATTGCACTTTTAGTGTTCCAGTTAAAGCTGACATCTCACGTGTGACAGACAAAAACATCCTGTCGTAAAAGTTATGAGAATGATGGAAATCAAGAAGAGGAGCTGAGACATCGTCATGGCCCAGAAAATATGTAAATTTTCTGAAAATATGTAAATTTTCTGGGCCATGAACAAGTCTTCATTCTCGAGCCGCTCTTTGAAGATTACTAAATTATCCCACATAGTATTTACTGATCCAGCGAGGGAAGAAGAGTTATTATGATGTTGATATGATGAAGACTGTGAACTGTGTGAGCAACAAAAGGCCTTTTGGGAGATCGAATGTTTTTGTTTTAGTTGCCAGAGGTTGTCGAGTGCTGGAGCTGCATTTTTTTGTTCTACTTATCAAAGACAGGAAAATGTTGGCTTCGACACCAACTGAATGTCTCACCTGAATGGGAGCTTAATAAAGCAGCTGGTGTGCTGGTGTGTGTAACATAAATAAAAGAGTGCAATTTTAATGAATATATGATGAATAACACAAGTTTAGATCTTTGCAAATAGGAGACAGAAGTAACCATATGCTTAAGTTTGTCACAGAAAAAAACAATCAAAAAGTATATCTCTCAATCATTGATCTTTGCACCAACAAACATTCACCTAAAATACCTCATTCGACCTAAAATATTCAGGTCGTCTTTTTTCTATCCAGTGCTAGACAGATGAAGTCACACATTACAGGACTGCCTCCCCCAAGCAGTGCTTTTCACTTATTAAAGGATCAATCAAATATTTATTAGACGAGCAGGCATTTTCATAAGAGAGAGGAACATCCTCATACATTTACAGTCATGAAGCAGTTTGATTCAAACAGACCGTAAATGATTCTGTCTGCTTTACTAGCTCTTCATTAAAATCCCTAAAGAAAGGATTCCTTGCATTTTAAGAAAAGAAAAGCCCCGTGAAGACACTCAAAGCAGCAGCCGCCGCTCCTGAGGTGCATATCTGCTAATGTGCGCTGAGTGATTTTGTATTCACAGTGGTAGGATTGTAATTCAGAAGGTTTGAAAAAGTCTTGGTGGGAAAACCCAATTAGGATGGCAAGAGGGGGCTTGTAATAAGATTCTGTCACTCTGTAATGGAGTGACAGGGCTCGTAATAAGGCAGGAACGTGTTGAGCGCTCTCTCTGAGCAGATTTCAATCAGGGTCGTCCTGGGAAGCATGACCTGCTTTAAAAAGAGGATACAACACCCTCCCCTGCTGGTTAGATTATTGTGAAAAAACCGCACAGTATAAACCGTTTCCACATGCAGCAGATACAGAGCAACATTAGCATTCATTTGGACTTACATTTCTAGCAACCTGCAGACCAATTTCTACTCTCCTTTTAGCTCTGTTTTTGGTCTCCTCCAACTCTTGAGGGATATATTTTGCTCTTTAGCTGCTAAAAATGTTCACTATAGTCGCTAACTGTGTCTGAGTGTTGTTGGGTGCTGTGCAGGTCGTGTACGGTGGGTTTTTGCAAGCAGGGTCTGACACAACCCTTTGAAAGAAACATAAAGTCTTTGGCCTGAAAATCAAAACAATGAACTGAACTAAAATGCTCCGTAGAGGGGAACTGCTGAGTCGGGTGATAATTGTCTGAGGCTTCGGAACTATGAGTGACGCCTTTCACATTACACGTAGTGACGTGATCCATCTTTTTTGTTATTAATCCGTTTTCATGGTATTTTTTTATTAATTTCATTAATTTGGTTTTAACTTGTCTGTGCTTGTATAAAACTTCTACACTTCTATCTTTCTTATCTTTTGCCTGTAGAGTCCTTTGAATGATCTCTATCACTGCGTATGATAAGGTGCTGTATAAATAAACGAGCCTATTGTTAATATAACAAAGTGAGACTGCCACTGAAATGATTTAATCCATCTTTATTGTTCAGGTTTATTGCAAACATTAAAAGATGTTATTTTGTAAATTACTTTAGGTGATAACGCTGGCGATGTAAGTGATTGGTGAAAGAAGACCTCTGAGATTGCATTGCTCTCAGTGCAGTAAAGTTAAAAAGCTTAGAAAATGGATCTTGAAGTGCACTTTTCCAATAATGAATGCTTTCTTTTTATGAAAACTCATCCGTACACCTCTCAGTCTGAGAGGACATCATAGAAATAAAGAGCACTTGAATTGATGTATGGTGACTCACGGAGAAAGCAAAGAAAGAAAAGCAATTGGGAGAGCTGAGCCCTATTTACCCAGGCTGCCCAGAGCGAGCCTGTGGGCACAACACAGCTGACACCACATGTAAATTATGCCGGCTCTGATCTCTCATGGTGACCAAAAGGACATTTTAAAAATCTGGTAGGTTCTCTCATGACCAATGGGACATTTTCTATTAAATGAAATAGCATGAGGACATTTTTTAATTATCTTGATAAAAGACAAAAGTTGTCTGTTTTCACGGAAACTCACACTCTACCTTGTTCAGTAGTTTGAGCAAACTCACTTTACATTTTTTCAAAGTCATATTAGCTCATAGATACAGATGTATTCATAGCTGCTGGTATCTGTAGTTGCCTGTATCCATGTCAAGAGGTCAAAATACAGCAGAACTGAATCCTCACAACCTGAGATGATCTCTCAATTCACATGATCGACCCGGCTCACGGAGCTAATGGCGCCGTGCTTTAGAGAAGCGAAAGTTTCTGTGCTCATTGACTATGGATGAGCATCTGGTCAACATGGATGTGTGATCCGATCACTGTGCCCCCTCGCTGTGTTTACCTTTGCACACAGATAAACATGCAGGCATACAGAACCCACAGAGTCACGCTCTGCACCCACATCTGCATCTCTGGTGGCATACAAATGCAACTTTAGACTATACTTGACAATGACGCGAACTCTTGTGAACATGAAGGAGCCTAACTGGTGTTGTATACAGAGATCACAGTTATAATTCATGTTTTTGGACTGTTAAAGTTTGAGAATAAGTGTCTAGAAAAATTCAGACCACGTTTGATGCAGCTGTATCTGATGGACTGCATTTGGTACTGCTCGGGTAACACACTCAGGTGTATTATTACATTGTACATTATTACATGTAATATTACAGCTGCAACTTCATTATAGTGCTCCAAGAAATAAATACATTACGACACTGATGTTTTAACTCTAAAAATGTAAATATTTACCTTTTAGTTATTGCTAAGGACTCGTTGGTTTGGTTGGATGGCATCCATTTCAGAACATACATCATGGCCTGATTGAGATGAGAAAATGCATGTTTTTTTTCTATTCTACAAATGTAATGACATTCATTCCACCAAAGAAGTACAACTGAAGTGAAAATTAGACTAACCCATTTCTCAAACACAATTTAATGACATCAATAGTTAAATCCATCATTATACAGTATTATGTCTGTGTGAAGAATGGTCTGTGAGTTATTCTTTCCCCCCTCATTTATCTGAATTAATTCTGAGCCTGACAGAGGTCATTTCGCACTGTCAACGAGTTAGAAAAGAAATTCAGTTCTACACTATTCTTTGCAGTTTGACTAATTAGCTCTGGAAGTCCTCTGATGTCTAAAATCACCCTCCTCTTCTAGAGCACTTTTTATCTCGACAGCCACAATCAAGACGAAATTAACCACTGACCCCAAACCAGTGCTACTGACCAGGCTGGTGAACAGCATGTCGTCTGTCAGCAACATGGAAAACTAAAATGATTAACTGAAGCTGCAGTCAGAGAAAGGCTATAAGGGCTTTGATTTCAAGTGAACTTACCAGCCACGGTTTGAATACCACCAAAGGATTTTGTCTGGAGTTTCCTTTCTGAACTCTTGCCCTCTTGAGATTTGCTTCAAAATAGACTTGCAATCATATTTAATGCTTTGGTAATGAATTAATGTTGGTTTAACCATCGCAGCAGGTGACACACAAGCTACTGAAATACCAAAGGGTGTTGAACTGAAATGCTGAAAAATATGAGCATTTCTATTTGGAAAAAGAATATATTCTCAGACACACATCTGATTTCAAATAATTTATTATTCAGCACTTTATATTAGCAATAATACATGTGTCCCCTGATGTCAACCCTCCATTCCCAAATATTCATCATTACATTTTTAATAAATCAGTTCTCGAGTTCAAAATTGATCTGTGATTACATTGTGTCACCCTATTATGGGCCAATGCAAACACTGCACCCAGAGGTAAAAATAGTTAAAATTGTACAGTAGTAAACATACAAATTAAATGAGCATTTAAATAAAAAAATAATTAATACAATTGATAGATAAAGAATGATTTTTTTTAACACAATTCAGGTTGATTGACCGTTAGCTAAGCCCAGTCTGCCCTAGTTACTTTTCGCATGGCACATAAGCAGTTTACAACGATAACGGTGGCACTCAACATTTTTAGTATTATTTCTTACAGAGGTAAACAAGGAATTAAGCTAACGTTAGCTCCACGAGTTGGCTTCAAACTCCAGCTGATTTTTCTAGCTGCCTCTTTTTTAAATGATGTAAAAGGGGTGATAAATATACACTTGATGGCTACATTTATGATGTTGGGCTAAAACACTGAGGCTAAAGCTAACAGGTCCGCGTCACCAGTTGAGTAAGACACTCAGCTACACTCTGATAGCTTCCAAAATCGTCTTCCACACATTGTGAAAATACTACACAGTGGATGTGCTGGTTGTTAGGGGTACTTTTTTATAATATGGCCCGTAACCCCACAAACTACTCTAGGTAGTCAGTTATTATAATGCCCCTTGGCCTTGGAGGTAATGATGATAGTACTGTAGGTAGTGAGCTTGTTAGCCAGACAACTTTTGCAGCTTACTTTAGAGCATATAAACACACCGTTTCATCCGTTCCTCACACTTTAGATGCAGAGGGATCTCTCCTATGGAGAAGATCCTCTGAGCGAATTTGGCCACCATTCACATAAAGGTGAAAAAGCTTTCAACCCCTCCCTTTTTGTTTTTTGCATCGCTGGTCAGTCCTGCATCGCCAGGAAGCCCACAACACCTTGTGAATCGATTAGCTATTGTCCCATAGAAAATGATTGAGGACAAACTTTGCATCACACTGCTTTCAGTGGGTCTTAAGTCTTACTGAAGCCCCACATACGCTGCTTGAGGCATGTGGAGAAATCCTACGCTTGACCGACCTGCCAGACCTTACAGTTGCTAAGCTATGATAGGACGAGGGGTTAAGCGAATGGTCAATTCAGGTCAGTCTTAATTATGACTGCCACTTTGGTGCTTGATCACATGTAAAAAAAAAAGTGGAGTTGTTTGAGATAATAGAGTCTTGATGAAACTATAAACACAAGTGAAAGAAACAAGCACAAGGGCAGAAGTCTTAGATGTCAGTGGGGGGCACAGATGGTGATCTATCAAAAATGACTCACAGTATGAGCGGATGGATGGCTTATTGGCGTTGTCCTTCTATTTGTGGCAATAGACAACTTAGTAGAGAGCCCGTAAGTAAATGTAAAATACTGGCCAAAATCTGCAGAAAATAAATAAAACGTATATCCCAGTAGTCTTTATTTCAAAAGTCTTAAAGGTAGTCTGCAGAAGTCAGCGGTTAGCATTCATTCTGCGCAGTTTGGCGGGCAGGTTGTCCTCTGGCCGACTCCCTACCAAGGGGATCTGAACCGGGGTTTGGGTTGGTGCAGCGATGGTGCTAATGGCTGCTGGCAGTCTGTGTTTCTCCAGCTTATCCTCCTGGGCATCTCCATCCAAGCACAGCAGCTGGACCTGCTCATCCAGCTGTCTTTGCCTCACAACGGGGATGGAGCTTGACCTCAGCCTCTGAATACTAAGCGGAAGGTCTCCTGTGCTGGAGGCCTTCCCCCCAGGCAAGGCTGGCCCTGTCTTCAATCTCCTACAGAGGAGCTCCTCCTTGGTGGAGCTCATGCGCTGAAGTTTGCTGGGTAACCTGAAGGCCTGGTCCTCTGCGTGGTCTGCATAGTCGGCTGACAGTAGTCTTTCCCTGCGGCCTCCGCGGCCACCGTTACCCAACTGAGGGGAAGATGGGGTGGCGACAGAGAAGGAGTTGGGCGACGTCAACGAGGACTTCTCCTCCTGTTCTTTGACGCTGTAGGGAGGCGTGTTGACCTCAAAGGTGTTGTGGAACTGGGAGTAGTCGACTCTGAAGAAGCCCTCCTCCAGTGACATGACGGGGAGGAAACGATGGCCCCACAAAACCTCATCTTCAGTGTAAGATGTCCTCGCCTGGCATGTCATACCTATGATGGAGAGAAGAGACGAATGTGCAGAGGAATATTTTAAAAACAGACAAGAAAAAGGATGAAACACTAACATTCTGAAGAAGAAGAAAAAAAGAAACGGACAGACAGCCAGGAACAGAAATGACAAGTGGAGAATTGCTTTAGGGAAAAGACAGAAAGAGATATGAAAAAATAAATATGACAGAGAGAGAAGAGCTTGTGCTATTGAATAATTACAGATTATGAAATGAAGTATTTTATTATATATTACCGAGAAATGCTGTATGCCACAGGCTGAGTGACAATGAAATAAATGATTTGGGAAAAGGACGTTTATTCAAAGTTTTTAGGAAGAAATATATTGAAAAATAATAATTTGCTCGAACCAGTGGTTTCCACGATGCCCTCTAGAATGACAACAATCTCAAACTGCTCGTTCATTAGTGAGCGCTGCGACAGATCAAAGAACGGGCTCTTGGTGTTGATCTCATGGCAGATGGTTAGAGGCGACACCAAGAAGAGCTGGTCCGCCCCCGTCCCAAAGCCCACGTCCAGCTCACACTGGTCCAGGGGCAGGAACTCGCCCTCTGGGGTCTGCCGAGACTGGAAACACAAATGATCAAGTCATGTATAACATTTACATTTTTATTAATGAGGGTCATTTAGGATCATTCTTCAATTCCTCCTCCACAACGGAGTCAGAGCACAGGGTTATGGAAGAGAAAAGTGTACAATAATAATTTTATTAGCAACTAAATAACATGTTTTCTTTAAACAAACGGCAAAACAACACTGTTCATCATAGCCGGAAGCTGTAAAAACTATCATTATCGTCAGATTTCCATCTATCTAAAGGTCCTTGAACACATCGTGTGTGACGAACGCTTACGTCAGAAAAAGCAACCGAAACTAAGTTTAATATTGTGATATTTCATCAACAACTCAATCAAAGAAATTCAACTTGCGTTTTTTTCTTTTTTATGATCCATGGCATTGTAACTGTGTTATGAGATTATTGAGTTCTCTCCACTTCTAGGCATAGTTGTGCTGTTTACATAGAGGTGCAGGATTTATATATTGCGGTGAAAATCAAAGCCATGGAGAGAAATATGTGACAGGAGCAAAAATACGCCCACGAAACTGCTTGGGGTTCCGAGGGTTAAAGGACAGGCAGGTGTTGTGGCTTTTTATAGCTTTTCTTCTCTGCATTTTCATATTATTTCCCCAGGCGTCTGTTTTGAAAAACATCTGCCTCTCTGTCTTTTGGAGTTTCATTTTTATTTAACTTCAGTAGACATGCCCTGTCTGCATATTCAGGGAGCACCCATCACAGATACAGCATGATGGGGGACACTTTCCCTCACCAAGCCAGGGATCTGTGGGCACAGAAGTCTTCCTGTGAAATGTCACACCCTTCTTTCCTCAACATCACTGTGAATACAAATTGACATTTTGTTTGCCATCTGTGGATCGAGTGGCTCTACACTCAATGGGTTAGGGAGGCTACTCTGCATACAAGTTATCATGAGGCGGCAGGAGAACTATTTTATTTCAGCCGTAAGAGAAAATGACTTAGTTTCGGTTATAATGTGCATTTTTTTAAAGCTCGTGTTGATAGTGGAATTCAAAGGGGTTGGAGCAGGGGTTTTATATTTTTGGCCCTCTGAGTGAAACAAACATATTTTCCTTTTGTAAATCATTCACCCTTTACGTATCAACTGCAGTAAGAGGCTTGCAATTGACAGGAAAAGAGGTTTTATGAGCTTTTCGGTAAGTTCAAGGCTTCTCCCTAATTCCATGTTTTAATTTAACAGCTAAAAGAGTACTTTATTTGATTGAGCTTAGTTTCCCAAGAGCGAGCACTAGTGTCTTCTCCATAATCGAATGACACTTGCCTTAGAGGCTAGGCTACCACAGAGGGTTTTAAAGTGCTCTAATGTACTGGCATTGAGAGTAAAAGATTAGTGTCTCAAAGTATAAATGTTACCAATGCTGTTGGAGACCATGTTTTTTACACCCTTATTTACAGCTTTACCCAGCAAGTCTATCAGTAAGTGCACTGAGAAGAACATCAGGGTCCTAAGAACATCTGTTCGTGTTGTTGCCTCTCCTGGGTGTGTGTTGTTCTGGTATCTATCGTGCCACAAATATGTCAGATAAAAATCCATCCACGTCTCTGCCAGATTTTTTTGTTGACTAACCCGAGTCTCAGGGGCAAATTAATATTCCATTCAGTAAAATGTCAGCATAGATTTTTGGGGAAATTCAGCCGACCCTTCCCATTTTACAAAACATGCAGGTCAGGCAAACAGGCACTAAAGCTGTTCAGAGGTGTGCATTTAGGGACCATCATTTTGCAGCAGCATCCCTCTAAAGCTCCGAGGCATGAGACACAAACATAACCCTCTTCCTCCCTCCTCCACTTGTTTGGATGATGGAAGCAATCCTGATCAACTACCATTACTTCTAGTTCGGAGGCTTTTTCTGCCTGCTTTTGCGCTCTTAAATTAACTCACTCTTCACTTTAACTCCAATCCCGAGATCCTATTTCATGTGGAGCTATCTCTAATCACAGAGGAAAATTGCCCTCTCAAAGCTATTTCATGGGACTCTTATCACAGCTTCAGGTATATTCCCATCATGGTACCACCTGCAACAAATACATCCACACATTAACTGTCCTGGCTGGCCATGTGGCCTCGTAGACTGCACGCCATCATCCTCAGGGTCAGAAGAACCCTGAAGCCACATGATACAACCTTTTTTTTGCAAAACAAAAATACATGCCTTGAACAGACTGACACAAAAAACACAATGACATTTTGGGAACTACCCTTATTTGCTTTCTTACCAAGAGTTGGGTGGATTTTGTCATCTGACTTAAGAAAATAAGCTTATTTCCCAAAAATGTCAACTGTTCCTTTAAATGCACATTTAAATCTGTATTTTTTCAGCAGAGTTTTGTTTTTTATTATATGAAATATCTTTATTATGAATGGATTTGCAAATTGATGTTCCTTTAGGTCGTTAGATTTCCCTTTGATACTATCACATAATTTAGCTTTGTGTGCAGTTAATTAACCAGCTTCCTGGCCCATCCCCCTTGCAGCATCTCTTAGACAGGCAAAACAGGAAATTTTAATAAAAGTGCAATATTTTTGTAGTTGATTTTTCCATATTGCCGTTCGCTTTGGGTATAAGCTTCCTCCGTCTCCTATAAGTGGGAGGAATGCATGAACTCGTTTTTAAAAGCCTGTTGTGTCAATTTATTTATTTCACCCAATCATTTAAGTTAAAAATGTAAATTGTCATTGAGATAATGCAGGCAGGTGTCCCATTTGTCAGCAATGCTAGTACAAGTTAATGAGATTGGAAACCAATTTCTGTGGAAGTCATTTTTAAGCCAACTCTAGTCATGACAGTGAAGCTGCTATTTTTCACATACCGTTTCCGGCTCCATTGCAACCAAATTATACCTCTGCCAAGGAAAGAGAAACCTGCTCGACACTGAATGGTTTAAACATGGTGAAAGCTCGGGGTGTTCTCTTACTGCCGCTAAACAGTCAGTGCCACAAGGGGGGAATTAATGGCCTTTGGAAGATGTCCTGATATAGAGGGAGTGCTTCATTTACCAAGCCACCTGAGATTCAGGTTGAGTATAAGCAGGCCCTCTCCCTGGTGACTCACTTCCTCCTCAGTGACAGCATGTGTGTCCAGGTGTGTGTGTGAGAGCGATGTAAAGAAACACACAAACAGTGATGTTGAAAGTTAGAAAGAATTGTCTGCGTGCGCACATTGGTCTTTGTGTGTCTTTAATGCAGCTGTGTTTTTCTGTGTGCATATGTCCATGTGTGTCCAGCTGGAACTTTTAAGCTGGACATCAAACGTAACGCTCACATCCGAGCTGCCATTCCCAATCTCTCGACAGCACCATTAAAGCTAATGTCTTTCTCTTCTCCTCTCTTTGTGTCTGTCCTTCGGAGTAAAACAGCGGCAGAAGAGGCGAGTCATGCTCACATGTCTGCCTGCCTGTCTAGCTAAACGCCTGCATCCATGGCTGTCTATCCGCTACAACTATAGCCCTTATCACTTATCTCCCGCTGTGGACCAAACTAATGAGACGAGCATCTGTTGACATTGACGAGCACAACCCATCTGTCCCTCTCTCGCCGTCTGTCTTTTTTGTTTTTTCACTTTTAGCATTTTTTATTTTCCGATTAGAACAAGTATATGTTTCTTCCATCCACTGCTGGCATACCACATGCAAACATGATCCTTTATATTACAATCATATTCTGCACAGTGCCACAGGGGTCAGTGCACCACTGCATTCTATTGATGTATTAATAAAAGCTGCATTGTTATTAATTCATATTTAAGGACAGTTATCTTTTTAAGTTGGTACGCATTATGGATGTAGAGAAATGCACGGTCCTTCCGAGGGATAATGTTTCTAAAAAATGTGTTGTGTAAGTCACAAATTGAAGTATAAGCTCTACCAACTCAGTGACTTTTGTCAAACTGCAATAAAAATAGCATCTCATTTAACTGGGTTCTGGCTCAATTTTGAATCCATTCAACAACTATGGAACTATGTTTTTTGTTTGCTCAGATTTGCTCCTCTGGCTGGACTCTTCTCCATATTCACCGATGTTTTTAAACTTGTCCATGATGCAGAACTGATGCTTTCTCAGAAATGAAGTTGAAATAATTAAAACTAACATAACCCTGTGCGGCTGTTGCATCATCCGGGAGAGTCTTGCGTTTCCATTATAAGTAACAGAGGATATTGTATGAAGATTTGAAACAAATTCATGTAGGGAAAAATGGGATCCCAACAAAATCTACACCATGGGGCACCCACTTCCTCACCAAAATACCATCCTGAAGAAGGTAGCCCCTGGAAACATGTTTCACCTCACCAACTGACAGCACTGATCCAAACAACTCCTCCAAGGCTGGATCTGCTCTCTGTTCATTCTGCAGATCACTATGAGACAGACAAAGGAAAATCAGGTAAACACGGCAAATTTTTCTCCACGTCCCCATCTACCTCCTTTGATTTGGCACGACTCATCGATCGAGTAACTGCACATGGAGGGAAACCTTCGGGAAAGTTTACAACACTCTCAGGCTGTTCTGAGGCTGAAGGAACGGGAGTAACTATCGGAGGAGGAGGCACATCTGCCCACACACACACACACACACACACACACGACTGCCAGCCAGGTCGTTGCCCAAAATGATGTCAATCCCTTCCACTGGTAACGCTGGTCTCACCCCAATAGGAACTCTGCCCTACACCAAGCCACAGTCTAGATTCAGCATATGCACCGGGACAGGCAACACCCTCAACCCCATTCCTCGCATCAGGATTTTATCCCCTGTATCGGTCTCATCTGAAAATGACAAAATGGAGTCTCGAACATAGGAGTTGAAAGCACCCGTATCCCTCAAAATCTTAACTGGCACCTTAATGTCACTACCAGTCTGTGTTACAAACCCTTCTGAGACAAAAGGCCGATAGGACTCATCTAGGCCTCCAACCACGCCAGATTCTGCATGCCCACCTTGCCACACTCCCACAGGACCAGGAACGCTTA